TTTTATTTAGAGACAGGGTCTCACTAAGTTGCTGAGGTTGGCCTTGAACTTGTGATCCACCTGCCTCTACCTCCCAAGCCACTGGGATGAGAGGAGTGCACCACCACGCCCAGCCCTCCCATGGGATTTTAATGGCACAGTTACACCATGTATTTGCCAAGACCCTCCGGCGGCCATAAGCCGCTATAAGCTCTTAAAATTTTTTTGCCCCTCTCCCCAGAATCAATTTTCACTCTCTTGTGAGGTATTGCCCTCATCAAGGACGCACAATCTGATATGTACACAGAAAGAAAGCTAGAAACACCAAACCGGGGGCTCCAGGAGGGCAAGCGGGGAGAGGGAGCAAAAAGGAACTCCAGCGGCTCTGCGGATTCTACACAGTGTGAACACCTTGCAGCACTGAGTTCAATCCTTAGTAGCCCACAAAAATAAATAAAAGTATATAGAAAATTTTTAAAAAACTGGAATCAAAGAACAACTGGAAGCAACCCAATGTCCTATCCAAATGTCCATTTGTCCCATCAGACCAGGCAGGGTCCTACTCGGCAACAGAAGAAAACAGGTGGCTGGGCACATACACCTGGATGCTGCCCAGGTCCTGTGCTCCAAGGAGGAAGTCAGGCCCCCAACCCTGGACCCTCGCTTGGCATTCTGGCAGGGGTAGCTGAAGGACAGAGGGAAGACCAAACTACTAGTGACAACCTGAGGAGGGTTCTGTACCCGATTATCATGAAATTATACAACACTTGCCAAAATTCTCAGAACTCAATACCAGAAAATCAATTTGGCTATGTATAAATGTTTCTGAACACAACCAAGATGGCAAAGTGGGGCATGCAAAGATCTTTCCTTCTATTCCAACATCAATGATTTTCATATTGTATTTTTACCACATAACAATGCAACAAGATAAACATTTCCATTGATGAGAAGAAATAAAGCAGAACCCATGGAGAGGGATAGGGCTGAAGATGCAGGCCAAGGATGCTGGATCCAGAAGAAAACACCACGGGCCAGGGTTCCAACCCTGAAGGCCCTCCACCTGTGACTGCAGAGCAGGGCCAGGCTCCCCAAGTGAAGCCAGGGACTCAGACATTGTACTTCCACCAGTAAAAAGTAGCCAAGAAGCTCAGCTGGCTCTCCCACAAGCTGCACGCCACGCAGGCCACAAAGCAGTGCCTGGCACCTGGCACCAGCCACAGTGTCATCTGCACTGGAACCAATGTGGAACCTCAGTGGGAGTCAAATGGCCTACTTATAGCGTGGGCCTTGGAGGCTAAGCTATAACAGAGAAGGAAAGATTTCTTCCCAGAAGCTGGGAATGTAGTTCAGTGGTAGATCACTTGCCTGGCTTGTGGGAGGCCTTGGGTTTAATCCCCAGTACTGAAGGGGAAAGAAAAAAAGATGGAAATGTGTCCACACAGCATCTGGAACGTTCCTAAAACAAGCTGGGCATGGTGGCCACAATGGGATCCCAGCCATTCAGGAGGCTGAGGCAGGAGGATCACAAGTTCAAGATCAGCCAAAATCAAAAGAGGTAGGGTGTAGCTCAGTGGCAGAAAACCCTAGGGTTGATCCTCAGTACCACCACCAAAAAAAGACAACCCTAAAACATGAAGCTGAAGCTGAGAGCGCAGCGAAAGCAGGAGACCTGCACACAGGACAAATCTGACCGTCCACCTGGAGTCAACACCAAGCCTCCAAGGCCCATCTGCAGGAATGGACTCGAGGCCCCAGGCCCTGGAGCCAGACCCTCCTGCACTCCTGACCCCCTCCCCCAACGCTCAAGACCCCACTCTTACTCAGGGTCAACAGCACACCAAGGCTACACACAGTGCTGCCTTGTTAATAACGTCCCCACTGATCCATCTGTTTTAGGAAACAGCTTCCACCAAGTGACTTAGCCAACAGACACTCACTGAGGGCTTACCATGTCAGAGACAGTCCGACACACTGAGGACATGACTGAACAAGGCACATTCCTGCTTCCACGGGGCAAATCAGGCAATCAACAGAGCCACAGGTGTCAGTTGGTCAAGGTGATGGGAAGGCAGGACCCTATATGGGGGCAGACAAGCCACTGCCGGCAGGGAGGCCCAGGAAGGCCTCTCTCAAGTGGAGTTCTGAAAAGAGAACTTACTGGGTGATAGGCTCATGGCTATGCTGGGACCCAAGGTCCCAGATCCTGAGCCAGGGCCAAGGAGCAGGGGTCGGCCACAGGGGTGGCACAAAGCATTTCACAAAATATTTCAAGGATACCAGCTCATTTCTAAGGGAGATGAGAAACCACTGAGGGTTCTGAGCAGACAAGTACAGAATAGGACTTCCACTGTGAAAACATCAACTACTTGCTGCCAAGGGCAAACTGCAGAGCTTCCCTTTTGAGAGCAACAGGCAAAGTTCTGCGGGACCAAATTTAGCCCAAGAAAACAATCATTATCAGGGGCTTTTGTCTGTTTTTGGTGCCAGGCATGGGACCAAGGCCTCTGCATGCTAGTCCACCACTGAGCCACAGCCTTGGCCCCTCCAAGGAGTTCTAAAGCTATGTCTGAAATGGAAGGACTGCAAAAGAGGCAGGCATGGGATGCGAGATCCAGCCTGACCTCGCACTCAGGACAGAGCGATACCGTCACCCACAGTCGTAATCCACAGTCGTGCACAGGATGAGACCACCTTCTGTAAGAACACAGCAGAAGGATGGGGCAGAGCTTCCCAGGACCCACAAGCCGGACAAGGCAGGGTGAGCTGGGACCTATCAGCAGCTGAAAAAGGACATGGGGGTCAACAGGAAACCAAAAGTATGAGGCTGGCCCTAGAGAACAAGGGAACCGCGAAGGGAGCGCAGATTTGGGGGCTCAGGGACCTCCGGCAGAATGCTTGGAGGCTTCATACTCAGGCAACTCCACTGCGCAGGGCCACGAAGCCAGCCGCCACCAGCAGCCAGCCCAGCACAGGGTCGCAGAGATGCACAGCCCGAGGACCGCATAGCCCCAAGGCTGCGCTGAGCCAGACCCGCAGAGCCCGAGCACCGCGTAGCCCTAGGGCTGCACAGCGCCAGACCCGCAAAGCCCGAGGACCGCAGAGCGCCGGAATCGCACAACGCCAGACCCGCACAGCCCCGGGGACCGCATAGCCAGGGCCCGCACAGCGCCGGGACCGCATAGCCCCAAGGATCGCACAGCGCCAGGCCCTCACAGCGCCAGGACCACACAGCGCAGGGCCCGCACAGCTCGGCGCGTGCACACAGGACTCCGACCCGGCCCTGCTTGGGCACAGACGACGCGCCGCGGCCCAGGCCCACAGGTCGCCCCCTGCCTCTCGGCCCTCGGCCCCGCCCGCCCGCGACAAAGCGCCGCCGCGGCCTGCTCCAGACGCGACGCGGGCGGCGGGGCCCACGGCGGCCGCCCAGATAGCTGCCGACTGGCTCCCCGCCCGCCCGGTCGCGGCCTCCAGCTCACCCTGGGCCACGGGGCTGCGAAGCACAGCGTCCAGACCGAAGAAGGCTTGAGCGCGCCGCAGCCGCTCGACGCATCCGGGTCCGCGAACGCAGGAAGCGGCGGCGCGACGGCGCGGCGGCTACGGCAAGCTGGAGGGACGCGCGACGCCCGGCCCGCCTCGCCACTCCCCACCGCGCGGTGGCGCAGGACGGCGAGCTAGAGAGACGCGGCGGCGGGCTAGAGAGGCCGGCGGGCTCGGGCGAGCTCCCAAGGCTTCGGGGAGGGCCGGGGCGTGGCCACAGCCTCAGGGAGCGGTCGGCGTAGGTAGAGGACTGGCTTGGGAGGCTTCGGGGAGGGCTCGGGTGGGCCGGGCGGAGCTGCCGCGTGGGCGTGTGGGCCGCGGCCAGGGAGTCGAGAGCGGCGAGCGGTCGTGACAAGGCCTTCGGCGTCATTGGGCACCAAAGAAATGCAAATCCGAGCCAGGACCAAATTGGCCTTCGCTCGGGGCGCTGGAGAAAAGCGGCAGCAGCGCAAGCGGGCGCCGTGGGCAGGGGCAGAGGGCGGCGCAGAGGGGCTGGCGCGTACCGCAGCTCCCCCCCGCAGCGGCCCGCACCTGCGGCACACCTGGCCACCCGCGAGGTCAGTACTCTTCATTCACATCAGGGGCTGGACGATTCCCTGCACTGGGAGCCTGCGGAACAGAGCTGTCTTGCCAGGGGTCGGGGAGCAGGCAGGGAGCGACTTCAAACGTCCGTGGGATTTTCATTTGGAGTATTAAAAATGTGAAATTAGTGCTGATAGTTGCACGACTTGGAGAGCTTACTAAGTCACTCTTTGTACACTTTACATGAGTGGATTCTGTTGAGTGCAGGAGTGCCCACCTGTCATTCGAGGGACTCTGCAAGCTGAGGCAGGAGAATGGCAAGTTCAAGACCAGCCTGAGCAACTTATAATGAATGCCCTGTCTCAAAATAAAGGGCTGGGGACATGGCTCAGTGGTTAAGCACCCAAGGGCTCAGTCCCAGTAAGACACAATGATTGATGCAGGTGCACACGCCCACACTTGAGGTATGCTGGGGACAAAGGAGAAAGCCCTGGCTGTGAAAGGGCCCGAGTGGTGGAAGGGATTCCAGCACACCAACGGTGGGCTCCCCCTCTGGACACTGAGGTGGCAGCAGTGGAGAGACCTAGTTAGAAAGGGCAAACTCCAAGCCCAGGCTCCATGCAGGCACTCTGGGACAGAGAGGAGGCCCAGAGACTGGGGACACAGAGTGGTGTATTCCAGCAGCAGGCCAGCAGCTGGCTGAGGCCAGACGGGGGCTTGCCTGCCCAGGCAGCCATCTCAAGGCACAGAAACAGGGGTGCCCGCTCGGGTCTAGGGAGAGGACAGGGTAGACACAGTGTGCTGCCCTGGGGCTCCAAGCACCTGGCCCTTCCTGCCCTGCCTCTCATGGAGGGAGCAGGTCTGTGTTCCTCAGCATCTTTCCTGATGCAGCCATTTCCCACTCATGTCTCTTAACCCCCCCCCCCAAAAAAAGTGAAAAACAAAAAGGAAACAAGGACTCACTAAGCAAAACATACTTATTTAATAAGAAAATCGCTTCTTTAAAAAAATAGTGTCTTCACGTGCCAAGGCGTGCACAGGTAGCTGGAGCAGAGCTGGCTAGGCGGCACTCCTGAGATGGGGACTGGAGACAGCATCCTGAGGCAGCTCTGGGCTCCCGGTGCTCACAGCAGGCAAGCTGCACCATCTTACCTCCAGCCCCATAGCCTCAGTCAGTGTCTCCACCCCCGTCCCCTTCGCTGCCATCCAGGGGACTGGGGACCTGCGGAGGGGCAGACAGAAAGGACTGTGAGGCCAGCACTTGCGCGCACACACACACACTCTCCTGCATGTGGGAGGACCCACCAGCTGAGCAGCGGCCCCCAGCCAGGAGTCTGACGGACAGCTCCTTCTTGTTCTAAAATATACACTGTACTAGGTCCCTTGCAGAGCCCCCTGCATCAGACTGCCCTGCCGGACGGAGGGGAGCAGAGTCGCCTGAGCAGGTCAGGGGTGGGAACGCCTGGCAGCTGAGCATGGGGCACAAGCAACCCTTGCTTGCAGCAAGGAGACCTGGACTCAGACTGGCCAAGAGCATCATCCAGCACTAGCTGGTGAACCCCGCCCACAGGACATCCCTACTGAGCACAGGCCCCAGAACACAAAGCAGTGGGAAGAGAGGGAGGCAGCCAGTGCCAGATGGAGGCAAGTTTCCAGGGCGCTGACCATGCGGTCACATGCCCTGGGCCCACCCCTCCAGCTGCATGTGAACTTGGGAAGTGACACTTGCCCATCTATCTACTAGGAGGAGGAGAAGCACTACTGCCCAGCCTCCCCACATGCAGGCTCTGGACCTGCACCTCACAACCAGTGCCTACCTTGGTGCCTGTCTGGGCCGCCGAAAGCGCAGTGGCACTGAAATCATGGACGGGCAGGGTGCTCAGCCACTGGGCCATGGACCGCTCGTCCCGCTCAGTGCTGACGATGGTGGGGTAGATATGCTGCTCCTTGAAGGCCGCCACCTTCCCCTCCTCCTGTGCCCAGTCCAAGGGCTCGTGCAGCCCATCACCGCCAAAGCGCTGGTTGTACTTCTCAAAGTGCACCCTCTCCAGGACCAGGCCAAGCCCTGGCGCTTTGGGCACATCCACCTTCTCCTCCCCCCAGCTACGCTCCAGCACGCTCTCCGGGGCGTAGCCCTTCACGATGGCCACCACCAGGCCCACCATCTTCCGAATCTGGTGCATCATGAAGCTCTGGCCCTTCACCTTGATGACGGCGAACTCCAGGCCCTCGCGCAGGAATGGCTCCTCGCAGTACATGTCCAGGATGTAGCGCCGGGCACTGGGCTCCCGTGGCCCCTTCTGCGAGGTGAAGTTGTGGAAGCTGTGGGTGCCCTTGTAGCAGGACAGGAGTCTATTGACGAGCCGCAGGGTCTCTGGGCTCAGGCGGTAGGTCTCGTCCTGCACATCGCGGTCCTTGTGGGCAAAGGCAAAGGTGGGCAGCATGTACAGGTAGGTCCTGGCATCACACTTGTTCTTGGAGTTGAACCCACCTGTGACCCTCTTCAGCCCTGGGGGGTACACGAGGAGAAGCAGGTGAGCATGGTGCAGGACTGGCTGCCCACTCACCACGCTGAGCACAAAGCACTACCAAGAGTTGGGCTTTTGGAGCCCGGCACAGTGGCCACACCTATAATCACCACAACTCAGGAGGCTGAGGCAGGAGGATGGCGAGTTCAAAGCCAGCCTCAGCAATGGTGAGGCCCTAAGCAACTCAGTGAGACCCTGTCTGTAAATAAAATGCAAAATAGGGTGGGGATGGGGATCAGTGGTTGAGTGCCCCTGAATTTAATCCTCGGTAACCCCCAAAAGAGTTGGGCTTTTGGGTCCTGAATTCCTATCTCAAAATGAAACACAAACACAAGCCCGACTGACAGACCAACAGAAGCATGTGGGTCTGCTGAGGCTGGTGCTGGCGAGGGTGTGACGACACTGAGTGGCAGGCAGCCTCTGGGTGTAGACCCCTGCGGCCTGCACATGCGTGGTCACGAGCCGACTGAGAAGTGCTGCAGTGGCCAGGGACACTCTTGCTCCAAGTCACGCTACTGACACGGCACTTGCAGCAGAAAGACTGGACACAACCTCCAGGCCCACAGGCACAGACCAGAGGTGGAGAGAAAGCAGTTCTGGCCTCAGGAGCAACCTCCAGAAGCTGAGCACAGGCCTTTGGTACGAGGGGCTGCTCAGTAAAAGGGCAAAACACAGGCTGGGACACCCGGGGCGTATGGCTGCACTTGCACAGGAAATCCTTGGAAGAATAAGCAAGAGCCCAGTGAAGTGATGCACGCCTGTGATTATAGCAACTCAGGAGGCTGAGGCAGGAGGATCCAACTTCAAAGCCAGCCTCAGCAACTGAGTGAGTCCCTGAGCAACTGTCTCCAAGAAAAAAAAAATTTTTTTAGTAGTGCTGGGGATTGAACCCAGGGCCTTGTGCATGTGAGGCAAGTACTCTACCAACTGAGCTAGATCCCCAGCCCTAAATACAAAAATTTTTCAGTTTGTATTGTGTACAATCTGTGAAAGGAGATTGAGAAAGTGGTCACACACAAAAAAAAGTAGCAATAAAGACTGTGATGATCTATGCCACCCAAGGCCTAAAACCACCTGGCCCTTCAGAGAAACCCCAGAGCAGGACTGGATGGCTCCCGGGGGCAGTGGCCTGCATGCACAGGAAGCTGGGTTCATCTCCAGCAGCACCAAAGAAAGAAGGACACCCCTAAGCAGTCACCAACAGACACAAATCATAGGTACTAACCAGAAAAGCTGTTAATTAAATGGAATAAGGAGCATCAGTTAATCCAAAAGAAGGAAGGGGGAACAAGGCACAGAGGTCAAGGGGGAAAAGAGCAGGACGGAAGTCTGCACAGTCACACCACCCAAACAGCACAGGCCGGGTACGCCACTTGCAAGGCAGAGGTGGTCAGGCTTTTCTCTCCTTTTTGAAAAGGGCCTTCCCCAGCACTGAAGAACAAAGCACTTGAGTGCAGCTCAGCATGCACGCAGCGTGCACAGGACCCTGGGTTCAATTCCTGGCACCACAGACCCGAGAGCCTAGAAATCCCACTCATCAGACCTGCTAAAGAACATCTCCTCTGTCCTGACCATGGCCTGGAGCGTCACACCCAGCTCTACAGGACAGGTGCGGCAGGAGGACCCGGGGCCGGGGCCCAAAGGAGGCAGGAACACTGAACTCCAGAAGCAGGACTGAGCAGCTGCTGCACTCTCTGGCCATTCCCAGGGACATGGCAAAAGGAGGGAGGCCTGCACAGCCTCCAGTCTAGAAACCACCCACCCCTGGCTACAAGGCTTACCCAAAATCCTGATGTGGGAGGGAAGGTGGCTGTTGATCTTGTCTAGAATGTCATCAATCAGCCACACCTTCAGGGACACTACCTGGCCAGCTGCAGACACACCCTGTAAAGGAAGCAAAGTGAGGAGTGACCTGGCCCTCCAGCTCAATCTATGGCACACTGGTCCTGAGATAAGAGGCCAGCAAATGCCCCAGCCCGCACACAAGTCCTGCTTCTCGAAGTACACCAAAGGCAGGAATTCACTGAAAAGGCAGTGTCCACACCCACAGGGTGAGAGCAGCAGAGCTTGCTGCAGATGACCTAGGGCCCAACAGAGCACTGAATCAAGGAACAGACTAGCCCTGGGCAGTCAGGAAGCAAAATCCCACGTAAGACCCGACTCCCAAAGATTCAGGAAGAAAGAAGGTACAGTGTAATCCACAGGACTAGAATGAGTGCAGCCAGGAACAGGCTCCCTGTCTGCCGCAACAGGAGACGCCTGGGCACCGGGAGGGCAAGGTTCTGCACAGGCCAGGAGGGGCCTCTGGGAACACAGGCTCGGATGTGGGGTGAAAGCTGACTGACTCCACACTACACCCAAGGTGCAGGCGCCACACCTGCAATCCCAGCACCTCAGGAGTCTGAGGCAGGAGGGTCGCAAGTTCCAGGCCAGCCTCAGCAACTTAGACCCTGTCTCAAAAGTAAAAAGGGCTGGGGATGCTGCTCGGTGGGAGAGCGTCCCTGGCTTCGATTCCCACTGGACAAACGCCCACGTTTGGAGAGGCTTTCTTCATCAGCTCAGGTACATTTTAACTTCTTCTACCTTGAAGACAACTGGATACGTAAACGGAAGAATGAAATAGAGAGTAAAGCACTAAGACCACAGAACTGCGTCCCAGCCACTGAGGGCGGAGGCCCGGGAGGTGCAAGTCTGAGGCCAGTCTGGGCAGCACAGCGAGACCCCTGTTTACCAAACAAAAATTTCAAAAACCCACAAACAGCAACAGGAACCACAGAATTACCTCTGCTTTGGGACACCAAATCTATCACTGTCCTCATGCCCTGAAACTAAAATTGCAGGCCACGGGTTCCCCACACCTCCCTCTAGGGCGCTCTGACTCTGGGTTCCTGCCTAGCCTGCAGATCCAGGAGACCCACATGCCTTTGAAACTACGTTTCTCGGAACAAGATCCAAAATTTTATTCAGATCCCCAGGGGACTGTGACTCACAAATCGCTGTCCAGGACAGACTCCGGTGTCTCAGGCAGCCTGCAGGCCAGGCAGGCAGAAACCAGGGATAAGAGCCAGCTTGTTCCCAGTACTGGGTGCCACCAAGAGGCGCATGCTCTCAGGCCCCGTCACCCCACCTGCCCATACAGGTGCCCTAGGTGACACACCTCCAGCTCTAGGGCCCAGGCCCAGGCACAATAGTCCCATGCTGACCGGGGCTGAGTCCAGGAGGGGTTGTAAGCCCATCAGAAACGCATACTGGCTCAAAGACCTGGCACATGCACGGGGCAGAGCACACCCATGAGGAGTCTGTGTTGCTCGCATGTTGCAGTGAGTGCGTCCTGCACACGCCGAGCAAGAGCTGACAGTCTACCATGTACGGGCCCTCACATGTGGCTCCTAGACAGCACACCTTCATTAGTGTGGCCTTCGTGACCACGGCTGTGTCTGCATCCAGGGGCTGATGTGGATGGATCTAAAGCATTGGTCACAGCCACTGCACCACCTGCGGAGGCAAGTCTACCTGAGACAAGTGAAAGGAGAGTGTGAAGGCCAGCAAAGACACAGTGGGGCCAGCGGCGGGCACCTGATGCTGCCACTGTGAGCTCGTCCTGCTCCTAGACTTCAAAGAGAAAGGTCTTTTCCATTTAGGCTCATCTGTGCCTGTCCTGTCCGCCAGGGTCCTGACGAACAGAGCACCAGGATGGCAGGCAGCCAAAGCTGCTGGTGCCCACAGGCAAGGGGCAGAGAACACCACCCACCTTGTCAGTGCGGGCACAACGCTGGAAAGACATTTTCCTCATATCTTCCCCGTGATTCTCAGGAATGCAGCCTGCCTGGACCAGGGCAGATACCAGGTCGTCCTCGATTGTCTTGAACTGTGAGGACCCCACATTCCTCTGGAAAAGAGATGGGACACTTCACTTCCCTGGAGCCTGCAGCGCACACACAGCCAGCAGCTGGGGATGAGAGAGTCCACTGGGCCCAGTCTCTGCCTGGTCCACACCACAGCACGTGGAGCGCAGCAGCCCACATTGTGTCACTGGCATCCAGCCCACAGAGGGCAGCCCCACCCTGCCACTGTCCCTGACAGGTGACAGGGCCTGCCAAAGCTGGGTCTGGCATAGCAGCTTTTACTAACCCTTCAGCTCCTGGAAAAAGCAAGTGAAAGCTGTAGAGGCAACTGCAAGGAACAGACAGAAGCCTGCTGCTTGATGAGCTGGGTGGAGAGATGGGGCCTCCCTGCCCTCGGCAAAGAGGCCCGTGGCCCTACTGACCTTCTGCGTCCAGGAGCTGCACAGTCCCTCCTCTGAGCCTGAGTGTGCCTGGCCCATTTGACACCCCATTCAGAAGGTGATGAAGTCACCAGCTCACTCAAGGCCACATGCAGGGAAGCCACTGAGATGGCCCACCACCCTGGGAGATGACCTGTGTGCCCTGAGGACTTGGGTCCCTGCATGAAGCCACAGTGGTGCCAGGAGAGCAGAGCTGAACCCAGCCAGCCTTTCCCAGGCACAGTCTCACCTGCATGCCGTGGTAGCCCTTCCCTGAGTAGGCCATGAGCAGTACAATCTTGCGCTTGGGCAGTTTTCTCGGCCGCTCCTCCTCCTCACTGCCCCTGAGCCTCTTGGGCGGGTACTGTGTGTCCTCCCAGATCCAGCCACCTCGGGCTTTTCTGTCCTGCTGGTGTGAGGCCCGTGCTGGGTGCATCTCCTTCCCGGCCATGGTGGGTAGGCTGAGAGGACATGGTTGTGAGTGGGCCAAAGCAGGCAGGGGCAACAGGGTGCAGACCTGCCAGGCTGTACCCATCAGGCCCATTCCAGCCCTCACTGGGGACCTTGCCCAGGGGTGGCCTAGTGTGGGCTGGTCATGGGGCGGGGTCCTCAGCAGGGATGGGCACCACAGGACTGCAGGAAGCAGGGCCCTTGTAGGACAGCAGCCCACGGCAGAGGCAGGCGGCCCATGGCAAAGGAGAATAGCAAGGGGCAGGGGACGAAGTGCGGGGAGGTGAGCAGTGCAGGGAGGAGTGGGCAGCCTGGGGCAGCGGTGGGGCATCACAGGCAGAAGGGGACAGAGGCAGCCAGTGACAGCCGGCACGGGGCGGGTGGGCAGCGCTGGGCGGCGTGGAGCAGCAGGCGGCCTGCCCGGTCTTTACCCGGGCGCGCGCGGGCCGGGGCGCGCCGGCCACCGTCCCCAGGCTCTCCGCAGCGCGGCCTGCAGGCCCGGGACGCCCATGCGCGGCGAGCGGGGCGCCAAGCTCCGAGCTTGAAGCAGCCCCAGTCCCAGGAGGCCCTCTGACCTCCCCCGGCCCTCCTCCCGCCGCCCTCGAGTAGGGCCCAGCCCGCGCGCCGGGACCTGAAGGGCGCCCACCCTCCCCACTCACGGCCGCCGACGGAGCCGAGGCCGATCACGTGAGCCAGGGCGGAAGCGGGCGGGCGCCCAACGGCAGCCGAGCGGGGGCAAAAGTCCTCCGCGTCAAGATGAGGCGGAACCAGAAAATCTGGGGACTGGATGGGGCGGAGCTGGGGCGGAGCTGGGGCGGAGCATGGGCCGAGGCTCCCTCCCAGGCCTCAGTTACCGAAGGCCAAGGCCCACAGCAGACATCCAAAGAGAAGCCCTTGGCCCTGCAGTATCCCAAAAGGGAATCCATTTTGTTAAGGTTAGGGTAAGGGTATGAATGAGCCACTGTGAGGATCCCTAGAATAAACAAGTGATCATACCAGCTGACACATTCATTAACTCGCCCAATCCTTGCGCCCTCCCGGAGTGGCAAGCACCATCCTCACTCCCACGTTACTGAAGAGGATCCTCGGAACAGAGAGGTACATCCCATGTCCAAGGTCGCACAGCCGCACCCCTGGCACTGACAATGCACCAGGGTCCTTGCATTTTCCACCCACTGGCTTGGCAGGGTGCAGACAGCATGGGGCCCAGGATTCCTGGCTTATTGTGGGTATTGATACAGCACTTGCCGTTGCCAGGCAAAATTCCAATCGGTGTCACACTAGCTGGATCAGTCCTCGTGGAACCATGGATAAGGCTGTGCTGTTTCTCCACATTACAGTGGGGGAGGATGAGGCATGCGGCACTGAAGGGGCTTGTTTGGCATTCAGACCCAGCCTTCACCTCTACTGTATTTTATTTGCAGTGTTAGGGGCACAAAAGCCAGGGCCTCACACGTAACAGGCAAGCTTTCCACCACTGGGCTACACCCCAAGGCCCCAGCTGCATCTCTGCTCCTAACACTGACTACTTATGCCTCTTGCCAACCTTTTATTTGTTCAAGCAAGGATGACATTTTTTAAATGCTGCCACTTTCATTTCCTTTAAATGGAGAATGTTTAATGTCATGGAAAGCTCATTACATTGTTCTTGTTTTTTTGCCAAAGACTAGTGTACAATTTTCCAGAGCCAACATGGTCCCTGGTCAAGCACCCACAGCAGACAATGTAAAGGCCAGTCCCCCCGTTTTCTGAATACCACGTTCACCCTGAGCACCCTCAGCCTGCATTCCTTTTGACTCTTTTTACTTTCAGAGATGAGAAGTGTAGCTGACCTCTGCCCCACCCTTGCTGACTCCCAACTCCGCTTTCCCACTTGCCCTCACAAAGGCTCCCTCCCAGATGATCCAGGACCCTCTCCCCTACTCAGGATCCTAAGATGAATCACATCTGCCAAGTCCTTCCTACCAGCTACAACATGCTCCCAGTTTCCCAGGAATCAGGGCCTGCACACCACAGGGGACCATGACTCAGCTGACCACATGCTTTAATTTGGGGCAGGAAGGAGCCCTGTAGGTACACAGGGCAAGCATGTTCCATCAAGAGTGCAAAGCCCCGGGGCAGGAGCATGCCAGGTGGGCCCCACGAAGGGCTTGCTCCCTCCTAAAGGTGGAGGCTTTAGGGCCAGGGGCATCCACCTAGAGCCTGTAGGGTGCCTGCTGAAGGAGAAAGCCACAGGAAATAAGGCCAGAGTCTGGGACCTTGTGGACACAGAAGGTTGTGGCTTTGGTGCTGAGTAACCGGGAGACCAGAAGGCCCAATGGATGCCCCTTTCTGGGACCATTCATGGACTATGTGGAGTGGGTGAGGCTGGTGGCCAGAAGGGGAACAGGAGAAAGTGACCCACCCATGCATGACAACTCCCAGGCCATCTCGCCTGCCATTATTCTAGGAGGGAAGGGTCCCGAGCACAGGCACACAAGAGCACCTGTCCCGTCAGAGGAGCTGGGATCCCTTCCCAGAGCAGCTCTCTGTGCCTTTGCAGCTTGAGGCATCCGCGAGACACACCTCGCCTGGTGGGAGCGCACAGCTGGGCAGTTCTGCGTCTGCTGGGACCACGGTCTCCCCCAGCCAGCAGGACACAACCCAGCCTGAGGCGCTATGCTGTGCCCTGGGAGGTCAGTCTCCACCCCAGCCAGCCCCTCTCAACACACTAAGCCTCCTGATCAGTCGCAGCAGCCAGAAGCCAGCAGCCAGGTCCAAGCAAGGTGCTCCCATCTTTGCCTCTGACGCACTCCCGTCCCCCACAATACTCTGTGCTGGCCACACCTGCTCCCTCCTTAACAGATGATGGTGTCACCTCCTTAACAGACGATGATATCACGTCGACTTGAACCTGTCTGTGGAGGGCAAACTGAGGCCCACGAGTGGGGACAGAGGCCCAGGGTGTCCTGCTTCTGTGCTAGAGCAGGGACTGTACGCCCTCCTGGCTAAGAGCACTCACCCTGGGCCCCAGTGCACAGGCCAGCCTCCCGGGCCACCTCTTCCCCTCAGGCTCTAGTGCACAACGCCTGCCCAGGCTGGGGAACTCAGGGTGCCTTCAAGAAAAGGACAAGCCATAGACATGGGGTGTCCTCAGTAGCTCCCGGGCTCAGGCAGAGGAGCAGGTGGGCACAGGGCAGTGAGCCATTCTGTGTGATGGGATGGTGCACACGACCACACATTCGTCAAGACCCACAGGTTGTGTACCCCCCCCAAAAAATGAGCCAACACCCTGTCTGGTGGCTTCAACAGCACCTCCCAGGACCATGGCTCCTCAGCACAGGACGCCAGGGCGCAGAAACAGCAATCCACTCTGTGGGCCTCCCTGCTTACTGCAAACCTACAACTGCTCAAGTGTGAACCCAGAACACCAGGACCCTGACACCAGCGGGCACGTCCCTCACAGGAGCAAGGCCCCAGCCCGCCCCGCCTACCCCGCCCAGGGAAGCTTCTTCCCAGCTGAGAAGCATCTGTGTGTGCTTCAGGTCTCCAGGGCTCCCCAGGCAGACCCTCAGACCCTTCTCTTCAGACTTCCAAGATCTGCACCTCCCACTTCCTCCAAGATGCAGCCTCCCAATGAATTGCATTTAATACTGCAGTTACTTTGCTTATGAACACAGCACAGGTTGGCCGTTGACCTCTCCACCTTAGACATGGGCACTTACAGAGAGGAGTCAAAGAGGGGCCTATGTTAGTGCATCTGTTACTGGGGTACCTGTAGAACTGAAAACCTGGACTTCCTGAGCAAAAACACTAACCTTAGGATCCCACAATAAAAGGGCAGAATTAGCCCACTAAAATGGGCAAAGGAACTGAGGCAGGAGGATCAGTTTCCAGGGCAGCCTCAACAATGCCATGAAACCCTCTCTCAAAATAAATTAAAAGAGAAAGGGCAAAGGAGCCAGTACAGTGGCCACGACTGTAACCCCAGCTACCTGGAGGCTGAGGCAGGAGGACCAGTTGCCAGGGCAACGTAGTGAGACTCTGCCTCAAAATTAAAAGGGACTGGCTGGGGCTCTGTGGCCAAGTGCCCTGAAGGTTCTCACAGTGTGCAGGGGTCCTGGCAGTGTCGAGGGCTATGGCAGCTCCTGTGTAAAACAGGGGTTCCACCTGACCCTGGACACCGTCCTGGTCCACCTCCCAGAGGAGTCAAGCCAGTGGCTGCCCTTGGCCCCACTACTCCCCTCAGCCTGGGGGGCTGTTTCCATTAGGAGGGCAAAACATAGCATGATTCCAGAAAGCTGTCCCTGGCTCTGGCTCTGACTGGGCTTTGCTCCCAAAGCTAGGTGAGCTGCTGTGGGGACCGTGGGAGGCCCCAGAATCCTCACTTGGGCTGGGGGACACCATGCTCCACAGAGGGACCCCACACCTGAGAAGACGGCTGGACTTGGAAGACAGTGGCATACCAAACAGGACATGGACACGATGGGTAATTCCAAAGTTTACTTCCCTCGAGGCACACGACACAGGTGAGGGGAGGACTCACACATTCACCCTAACAAGACACAGGCCTGAGCACCACCTCGTGGAGGGCAGCATCCACTCACAGCACACGCAGCCACAGCCGTGGGCACCAGGAGGGGCCAGCAGGCAGGGCGCGGCACCAGTCTGCCGCGGCTCTGGGTTCCCGTCGGCATAAAGCAATAAATACTAACACAGGACATGCAGAAGGGAAGCCGGGGCGACGAGGGAGACAGGGGTGGGGGTTTTCTCATACATCCAAGCACAGTGGCGACATTTCAAGTATTGCAAGGAAAACCACACGTTTCTGTGCATGTGGCACATGACCTCTGAACCTATACCATGGGCACCACTGACCCACATCTGCCTCTGTGGATGCTCAGGGATACATTCAAGTAAGGCTGGCAAAGCTGAGCCAAGCCAGGGTGGGCAGACCAGGGAGGCCCAGGCAGGGCACCCTGAGCACACCCCACCCTGGGCCCTGGGAGACAGGGCTCCGCCCAGCCCAGAAGCCGCCAGGCAAGAAGCCTTGACATCAGGACCGGCTGTGAAGCCCCGGGGAAGTTCTGCATATGTTACTTTTCCTGTTGCACAGAAGGTCCACCCTCCCCTGCCCACCATGTTCAGGTGGGGATGGAGGCTGGGCACTGCCCATCCTGTGGCCAAACAGCAGGATGGTGGGAAGCAGCCAGCCAGAAACACCCATACTGCAGTGGGTGCCCGGCAAGAGAGCCGTGCCATACCCTGGCACCCGTCAGGCACCTCCTGCCCCCCACAACATGGCACCCACAGCAATGTTCAGGCCTACCCACCCTTCCAGAGCAATTCCTCAAACACCTAAAATTCTCTCCTTTGAACAACGAAAAAGAAAGAACTGCAGAAAAATAAGACACATTTTAGGAGTAAAAGTGTGAAAGA